CTTCCAAACCCTTAAAACCCTCCAAACGCTTCAAACCCTTACAAACCTTACAACCCTTACAACGCTGACTTGGTATGCCTCATCCTGCAGCCAACAGCCACCCCGAGGCCACACATGAATGGCTTCTTATGGGCCGCTTAACCAATCCCTTGGCATGCTTCATCCTGCAGCCAAGAGGCACCCCAGGGCCACACATCAATGGCTTCTTATGGGCGTCCAAGCCTGCAAAACGCTGACTTGGCATGCTTCATCCTGCAGCCAACAGCCACCCCGAGGCCACACATCAATGGCTTCTTATGGGTGCTTAAACAATCCCTTGGCATGCTTCATCCTGCAGCCAACAGGCACCCCAAGGCCACACATCAATAGCTTCTTATGAGCGTCCAAGCCTGCCGTTTGCCAGCCCTTAAACCCCAAAACCCTCCAAACATGTTTTACTTGAGCTGTCACACGCGCGTATGGCACGGTACTGTCGTTTAATTATGAAGTAATGTGAGGGCCCCCAAAGGCCAAATCAATTCTCTTAGGCGTCCAAGGCTGCCGTTTGCCAGCATTTACACAATTCAAACGATACCCCAAAGCCAGATCAATAGCTTCTTCTCGGCGTTCCAGCTTGTCGTTTACCAGCTTTCTCTTTCACAACGCCGTCCTTGACAGAAAACTGCTTCCCACAGACCCTTCGATGGTCTACTTGCCCTGTCTTCACGTTACTGGCCACATTCCCTTTGCAAGCGGGGCAAATGTAAACATATGCTTTCTCCTTCACAACGCCGTCCCTCACAGAAAACTGGTTCCCACAGACCGTTCGATGGTCTATTTGCCCTGTCTTGACGTCACTGGCCACATTCCCTTTGCAAGCGGGGCAAATGTACACATACGCTTTTTCCTGCACGACGCCGTCCCTCACAGAAAACTGGTTCCCACAGACCGTTCGATGGTCTATTTTCCCTGTCTTGACGTCACTGGCCACATTCCCTTTGCAAGCGGGGCAAATGTAAACATACGCTTTCTCCTTCACGACGCCGTCCCTCACAGAAAACTGGTTCCCACAGACCGTTCGATGGTCTATTTGCCCTGTCTTGACCTCACTGGCCACATTCCCTTTGCAAGCGGGGCAAATGTAAACATACGCTTTTTCCTGCACAACGCCGTCCTTTACAGAAAACTGGTTCCCACAGACCGTTCGATGGTCTATTTGCCCTGTCTTGACCTCACTGGCCACATTCCCTTTGCAAGCGGGGCAAATGTAAACATACGCTTTTTCCTGCACGACGCCGTCCCTCACAGAAAACTGGTTCCCACAGACCGTTCGATGGTCTATTTGCCCTGTCTTGACGTCACTGGCCACATTCCCTTTGCAAGCGGGGCAAATGTAAACATACCCTTTCGCAACGACCTGCGCATCCCACACCTGGAAACGGTTACCACATGCACGCCGGTGATCTACTTGGCCCGTGCGTATACTGCTCCTCACAGACTTTTGGCAAGCGGGACAAACATATTGGAAACTCTTGCCTTACCCCGACATCTCCGTCGCACTGCCCTTGCTCTGCTGCTTGCAGCTCATTTCTGCCTGCCTGTCTGTGCTTCTTTCTGTTCCGCCGTCATCTCTACGTTGCTTTGCGTCCGGCGGGGCTTCCTGCATTTGGGCGGTGTCCTGTTCTGTTTTCCTTTTTCGTTCCACGCTGGCAGCCGCGACATCAGTCGTCGCCTGCACCGCCCTCTTGCTGTCGTCCTGTTGGCCATGTGCCTCTGCAGGCCCCTCTGTGGTCATTTCTGTTCCATTCTCTTGTCTGCGCTGTTTTGCCTTCGGCTCTGCTTCCTTCCTTTGGGGGCTCTCCTGTTCTCTCTTCCGTTTTCGTTCCGCGATGGCAGCCCAGACATCGGCGATGGCGCGTGCCTTTTTTTCCTCCGCTGCCTGCCTCGTCACTTTCGCCTGCGTTGCCGCTACCCGCTGTACCGCTTTGCTGATGCTTCCCTGGGGAATGGGGCACTGCCAGCAGTTGCTACAGACTTGGTCACCATTACAAGAACGATGTTGCGCCAGCCAAGAGTCAAAAGCGCACGCTGCTTGCTTTACCTTGCAGACGCTGCATCTCCACCAGCCCCATGCTTTACCCGAACAATCTAGACACACTCTACCGCCCCTGCGTGCTCGTTTCCAAGCCCCGCCAGAAAATTTCTTTTCGTCCTTGCGCGTATTGCAAACACTACACACTTGTGTCTGTTCGCACGTCTTACAAATACGATAAAATGTGTTTCTCTTACATGATCAGCAATGTGTTTCTCTTACATGATCAGCAATGTGTTTCTCTTACATGATTTCCCTTCAGAAAATCCCTGTGTTTCTCTTACATGACTTCTCTTAAGGTTTTGAGCCTTCATTTCCTGGCGACGGCCGGCAATACTCTGAGAAAAAAGGCCAGTATCTCTTCTGCGTTTTTTTCCTGAGGTCTGACTATATATCGCCTGGCAATCCCCGTTCAAATTTGGGGCCTGGTACATGTTTAAATTCCTGGCTACTAACCTTGGGAATTCTACAAACTTACCCGTTATCAGAGTCATTCATGATTGATTTCCTGATGCCTTACATACACAGACTGATAGATCAACCCCCCCTCAATCACAACAGACAGAAACTGATTTCCTGTCACTGTACGTCAGGAAGCTTTCAGGCAAAAAAATCTGGGCCTTCTTTGGTATGATATTTTTTTCCTGGCCCCATATCATGCCCCGGGGCCCTCACCCACTGTCTGCTAGATTTTTGGAAAATACGGATTTTTAATAAGCGTACTGAACCCCCAGGAAAAAAAAAGGTAGTACAGAGGAGGGTGGTGGCTGATCAAAAGGGATGATTATCACTGGATAGGAAATATCGAACTGAGTCCGATCCTTCTGGGCAGGACGCTCAATTAGCAAGGCTGAAGAGGCTGCAGAGTCCAAGGAACGCTCAAGTTGGAGCCAACCCCCCAGAAGGGGGGTCGGCGGCACCCGGGCGCTAGCCCATTCTATAAAACATATTTCATATTCGTCATATTCCCTATATATATAGATTCTCCAAGTGGGTTTCCCATTGAAAAAATAAAAGAAGATCAAAGAAAAACACATCCTCAGCAAATCCCAAGAACTCACCAACGATCCACTTCTCATCCTCAGGTTTAGTTCCAGGTGGAGAAGAATTGATGAAGTCAGTGGTCCACCACAGCGGCAAAGGCTCATCTGCCAACTCAAGAGATGGCATGACGTGCTGCAAGTCCTTCTTCAAGAAGTTGTTGGTGAGAGCGGCAAAGAGTGGTTCCTCTGGACCATAATAGGTGTAGACGGAACCAGTTCCACCAACTGCGGAGATTCCTCCCTCCTTGGGCTTCTTGTGAATGATGCCAACCAAAGCATCTCCCACCAGGTTGTATCGGAGCTCACCTTCCACAATACGAGGGCAGAAACGCTGATCCACAAGCTGGCCGCCGGCCTCCTTGCCACCCTCCAAGTACTTGCCAACACCCTTGGATGTCCATTCACCGGACTTGGAAGTTCGACCGTTCACGCAGAATTCGATAAACTCAGCCACGGTGTGTTCTTCCTCGTGGTTGTCATTGGCCTCCATCAGCAAAAGCTTCTCACCATCCTCGCAGGATCTCTCGCCATAAGAAGCGCAGTAGTTGCCCTCCTTGAGCTTGATAATCCAGATTCCTTGATGTTTTTTGAGTGATGCACTCTGTGAGGATACAGCAAATAAAGAAAATGGTGATTGACATTGATTGACAACATGATAAAACGATAAATATATATATATATATAACAAATGCATGTTTATATATGTAATTATATATATATATGTGTGTGTTTATGTGATTTATGTGCAAACCCAGATTCCTTCACCTGATGAGCCACGGTTCTGCTTGATCACTCGAGGCTGGAATGCCATGGTCTTCTTGAACCCTGTCGCAAACTCCTCAGGGGAATAGTAGGCAAGAGTGTCTTCCAGGCCAATGTTCATCGTTGCCACCTTGCAAAGAGCATCCTTTGCTCCCATCTTCTCCATGACATCGGGAGATGGCCAGACCTGGATACCCAGCTTGCGGATACCCCGCATGCCATCATCGAACTTGTTCTGGTCACCGCCATCAGCCTTGATCTGGCCGGGGTTGCATCGAACGATTATGAAGTCAAAGTTTTTACAAACCTCGAAGAACTTGTCATGCTCCTCATGGACATAATGGATGAGCTGACAGCTCATGCCCGCATTAATCATGCCGTTGGCCATGGGGATCGTGTCATACCTGTGGCAGTTGTTGCTCTTGTGACAGCAGACAACATTGTGGGGAGGTGAGGCTTATAAGATCTTATGAGTGGCTAGGCCCAGAGTTCAACGAGTTCAACTAGACACTATTCATACAAGGAAAATGTAGCTGCAAAAACGGAGCAGCATGTAGTGGCTGTACAAATGCACGTGTACTTAGTTCAAGAAGTACAAAGACATGCAAAGACCAAGGTACCTGTGGCCTTTGTTGCTCTTGTCGGAGCCTCCATAAGGCTGGCTGCGAACAAAGATTTGGCACAAAGCACCCTTGAACTTAGGGGCTGCGGGCTGATCCAACAAGCCCTTGTAGTCCTTGGCAATGACGGTGAGACCGCTGCAGTCGACAGGCCCAGGGCAAGCCATGACAGAAAACCTCAAGAATTACAAATGAGGCAAAGACGCAGTGAGGGTTCTTGATCCAAACTCTCCACAGCGAGAAAGGCAATGAGTCAGAAAATGTCAGCAGGCATCAAAATGTCAGAAGATGTCAACAGGAAGGCATGCTCTGAAATCGCTTTGAACATCTAGAACATTTTGAGCAGCGGGAATTGGAATAGATTCTCCATGGCTTTGAGGCATGACAATGCCCGTCCGGTTCTGTGTCAGAACTAACAGTCAGCGACATGTTGGTTGCACCAAGCAACTCTGCATTGCAATTAAATGAACCAAAGCTTTGGGCTAAACTCAGCAGCTGCATTTTCTCTGTCAGTCGATTGAATGCGTATAGATAGAGGTACAATCAGCTGGCACGTTTCCAGCAGCGACCAATGCCGCTATGTCAAATGTTTCCTCTGGAAACATGCAAAGGGAGCGGGCGCAATTCTGCGCCAAAAGCAATCAATGAATCACAATGAATCAATGAGGCAGCCTTGTTGTTGAAAGAGCTGCTACAAGAGTCTATGTTGTCCTCACTTCTTGGACAGAATGCCCAGGGCCTTCTCCCCCATAAGATCTCCATATCTCTTGGCTTCTGCCTTGTCTTCCTCAGTGATGTCATCCCAGCCGGCAGTGGGGGTGTCGTCCTTGCAGTAGGCAGCCAAGCAGCGGCTGATCCCAACGCAGGAGCAGTTGAACCTTGGATTTGCTTAAGAGCCACCCCAAAGAAAATAAAACATATTTCATATTCGTCATATTCCCTATGTATAGATTCTCCAAGTGGGTTTCCCATTGAAAAAATAAAAGAATATCAAAGAAAAAAACATCCTCAGCAAATCCCAAGAACTCACCAACGATCCACTTCTCATCCTCAGGTTTAGTTCCAGGTGGAGAAGAATTGATGAAGTCAGTGGTCCACCACAGCGGCAAAGGCTCATCTGCCAACTCAAGAGATGGCATGACGTGCTGCAAGTCCTTCTTCAAGAAGTTGTTGGTGAGAGCGGCAAAGAGTGGTTCCTCTGGACCATAATAGGTGTAGACGGAACCAGTTCCACCAACTGCGGAGATTCCTCCCTCCTTGGGCTTCTTGTGAATGATGCCAACCAAAGCATCTCCCACCAGGTTGTATCGGAGCTCACCTTCCACAATACGAGGGCAGAAACGCTGATCCACAAGCTGGCCGCCGGCCTCCTTGCCACCCTCCAAGTACTTGCCAACACCCTTGGATGTCCATTCACCGGACTTGGAAGTTCGACCGTTCACGCAGAATTCGATAAACTCAGCCACGGTGTGTTCTTCCTCGTGGTTGTCATTGGCCTCCATCAGCAAAAGCTTCTCACCATCCTCGCAGGATCTCTCGCCATAAGAAGCGCAGTAGTTGCCCTCCTTGAGCTTGATAATCCAGATTCCTTGATGTTTTTTGAGTGATGCACTCTTTGAGGATACAGCAAATAAAGAAAATGGTGATTGACATTGATTGACAACATGATAAAACGATAAATATATATATATAACAAATGCATGTTTATATATGTAATTATATATATGTGTGTGTTTATGTGATTTATGTGCAAACCCAGATTCCTTCACCTGATGAGCCACGGTTCTGCTTGATCACTCGAGGCTGGAATGCCATGGTCTTCTTGAACCCTGCCGCAAACTCCTCAGGGGAATAGTAGGCAAGAGTGTCTTCCAGGCCAATGTTCATGGTTGCCACCTTGCAAAGAGCATCCTTTGCTCCCATCTTCTCCATGACATCGGAGATGGCCTCCCTGGATACCATAGCTTGCGGTACCCCGCATGCCATCATCGAAACCTTGTCTGGTCACCGCCATCAGCCTGATTTCTGGCGGGGTTTGCATCGACGATTTGGGGGTAAGTCAAAGTTTGTACAAACCTCGAAGAAACTTGTCCATGCTCCTCATGGACATAATGGAGAGGCTGACAGGCGTCATGCCCGAATAATCATTCCGTCTGGCCATGGGTGATCGTGTAACCTGTGGCAGTGTTGCTCTTGTGACAAACAGACAACATTGGGGGAGGTGAGGCTTGTAAGTCTAGAGTGGCTAGGCCAGAGAGTCAACGAGTTTCAACTAGACCACTATTCATACAAGAAAATGTAGCTGCAAAAACGGCGCAGCATTGTAGTGGCGTGTACAAATTTGCAGTGTTACAGTTCAAGAAGTTACAAGAAAAATCCAAAGACCAAGCTACCTGTGGCCGTTGTTGCTCTTGTCGGAGCCTCCATAAGGCTGGCTGCGAACAAAGATTTGGCACAAAGCACCCTTGAACTTAGGGGCTGCGGGCTGATCCAACAAGCCCTTGTAGTCCTTGGCAATGACGGTGAGACCGCTGCAGTCGACAGGCCCAGGGCAAGCCATGACAGAAAACCTCAAGAGTTACAAATGAGGCAAAGACGCAGTGAGGGTTCTTGATCCAAACTCTCCACAGCGAGAAAGGCAATGAGTCAGAAAATGTCAGCAGGCATCAAAATGTCAGAAGATGTCAACAGGAAGGCATGCTCTGAAATCGCTTTGAACATCTAGAACATTTTGAGCAGCGGGAATTGGAATAGATTCTCCATGGCTTTGAGGCATGACAATGCCCGTCCGGTTCTGTGTCAGAACTAACAGTCAGCGACATGTTGGTTGCACCAAGCAACTCTGCATTGCAATTAAATGAACCAAAGCTTTGGGCTAAACTCAGCAGCTGCATTTTCTCTGTCAGTCGATTGAATGCGTATAGATAGAGGTACAATCAGCTGGCACGTTTCCAGCAGCGACCAATGCCGCTATGTCAAATGTTTCCTCTGGAAACATGCAAAGGGAGCGGGCGCAATTCTGCGCCAAAAGCAATCAATGAATCACAATGAATCAATGAGGCAGCCTTGTTGTTGAAAGAGCTGCTACAAGAGTCTATGTTGTCCTCACTTCTTGGACAGAATGCCCAGGGCCTTCTCCCCCATAAGATCTCCATATCTCTTGGCTTCTGCCTTGTCTTCCTCAGTGATGTCATCCCAGCCGGCAGTGGGGGTGTCGTCCTTGCAGTAGGCAGCCAAGCAGCGGCTGATCCCAACGCAGGAGCAGTTGAACCTTGGATTTGCTTAAGAGCCACCCCAAAGAAAATAAAACATATTTCATATTCGTCATATTCCCTATGTATAGATTCTCCAAGTGGGTTTCCCATTGAAAAAATAAAAGAATATCAAAGAAAAAAACATCCTCAGCAAATCCCAAGAACTCACCAACGATCCACTTCTCATCCTCAGGTTTAGTTCCAGGTGGAGAAGAATTGATGAAGTCAGTGGTCCACCACAGCGGCAAAGGCTCATCTGCCAACTCAAGAGATGGCATGACGTGCTGCAAGTCCTTCTTCAAGAAGTTGTTGGTGAGAGCGGCAAAGAGTGGTTCCTCTGGACCATAATAGGTGTAGACGGAACCAGTTCCACCAACTGCGGAGATTCCTCCCTCCTTGGGCTTCTTGTGAATGATGCCAACCAAAGCATCTCCCACCAGGTTGTATCGGAGCTCACCTTCCACAATACGAGGGCAGAAACGCTGATCCACAAGCTGGCCGCCGGCCTCCTTGCCACCCTCCAAGTACTTGCCAACACCCTTGGATGTCCATTCACCGGACTTGGAAGTTCGACCGTTCACGCAGAATTCGATAAACTCAGCCACGGTGTGTTCTTCCTCGTGGTTGTCATTGGCCTCCATCAGCAAAAGCTTCTCACCATCCTCGCAGGATCTCTCGCCATAAGAAGCGCAGTAGTTGCCCTCCTTGAGCTTGATAATCCAGATTCCTTGATGTTTTTTGAGTGATGCACTCTGTGAGGATACAGCAAATAAAGAAAATGGTGATTGACATTGATTGACAACATGATAAAACGATAAATATATATATATATAAAACAAATGCATGTTTATATATGTAATTATATATATTTGTGTGTGTTTATGTGATTTATGTGCAAACCCAGATTCCTTCACCTGATGAGCCACGGTTCTGCTTGATGACTCGAGGCTGGAATGCCATGGTCTTCTTGAACCCTGCCGCAAACTCCTCAGGGGAATAGTAGGCAAGAGTGTCTTCCAGGCCAATGTTCATGGTTGCCACCTTGCAAAGAGCATCCTTTGCTCCCATCTTCTCCATGACATCGGGAGATGGCCAGACCTGGATACCCAGCTTGCGGATACCCCGCATGCCATCATCGAACTTGTTCTGGTCACCGCCATCAGCCTTGATCTGGCCGGGGTTGCATCGAACGATTATGAAGTCAAAGTTTTTACAAACCTCGAAGAACTTGTCATGCTCCTCATGGACATAATGGATGAGCTGACAGCTCATGCCCGCATTAATCATGCGTGTGTGATGTTGGTAACGCGATGCAAGGCCCGAAATAAAAGACCTGTGCACCGCCTATGTCTTACTTAGAGCCTATGGGATTCCAAGACTCTGGCGCGGACTGTGGCCAGGTGATCACTCACAGACAAAGCTCGTTGCATCGAATCATCGGGTGCTGACCAACCTAAGCGGCGCTGCATGGGGTTGGGTGGGAGTGGGGAAGGCCGAGTGCTAGCAAAGTGAGAACACTGCCAAGCGACGTGATGCCAATCGGCCACCTCTGGTTCTAAACAAAAAGGACATTGCTGATCCTGTGCGAGATCTCTAAAAATTTTGTACATGGCTGGGCTATTGGCAGCCCCTGTCAAAACTGCTTTTACATGTCTGTTACCGGCTTGGTATATGCTCTGTGTCTGCTTAAGTGCATGTTCACTATAGTGTGCATTATGTATGAGGCACTGACTATCTCTACGGTTCTGGTGCAGGAAAAGATCAAACTGGGTCCGTCGCCAGCTTTCGCGAAGGGCGTGGTCCCAAGTAAATTTTCTGTTTTCCCCCCAATTCATTTCTCCACACGTTTCGTGTACCCAATGCCACGGGCCGGCAATGGACCATCCCAAGTTGTTCAACCATTCACGGACTTCACCTTGCCAATGGCCTCGGGGGGCCTCGGGCTTCCAGGGAAGTTGCAAAAACTGATAACATCTCCAAAGGACTTTTAGTGCATGGAAGCCTGCCATGAACTGCGGGTTCATGAAATGACCTTCCAACACAAAAGTCAAGGCTGTGGACGCCATGTGCTGGGTCCGGAAAGCAAACTTAAAGGCACGTCTGAAACTGTTAGACATGTCACTGCGAGGTAGTCTCAGCCCCATTCCCCAAACAGCGCGAGGAATGATGCGAGTCCGCCACAAGAGTCTGCATCTATGTTTACTGCATGGTAGTGATCGTAATCTACTAGCGCTGGCTAAGCATGTTTGATGACGCTTGACTGTGGCTGGTCGGTTGCCTGGTTGGCACGGGCCGTGAAGTCCACGCCGAGCACACGGCAATGTCTTACCAAAGATTGTTGAGGCACTTGCAAGTCCTGCAGAGCACGGGCGTGCTGGGGCTTAAGGGCAACAATCTGCAACTTGGCGGCATTATCCATCATTTCATATCTATCAGCCCAGGTTTCCCAAAATTGTAATAATATGGGGACATCCTGGGGACGGTTTACACACGTAACCCTATCATCCAAAAACCCGGAGGTGATGGTACCAGGTAACACTGTTTCTAGTTGACATAAAGGGGCTGCCATCATGACGATCAGTGCAAGAGGGCTAAGTGCGTCGCCCTGCGGCAGTGATCTAGTTACAATGCAGGGTGCTTCGGCAGTGGCCGAACCGTAGGTTATCCACCGATGCTGTTGAGTCCAAACTTTTGAAATCAAACGGGCCCATAGCGGCGGAAAACCTGCTTGTTGCATTATGGCAAGAGCCATTGCAGGCGAAATGGTGTCAAAGCACTTTTCGAAATCCTGGGAAACGATGATGCCTTTTTGTGAGCGCCATCTGTTTTCAAGTGCAAGAATGCCGTGGAAGGCTTCACGGCCTGCAATGCCACCATGGGAGCTGGGTGGCGCTATGGTCTGAATCCATTCCCGAACTTCGGGGGTTTTGGCAATTGAGCTGGTAACTAGTCTCCACCAAATGGACATGATGGAAATAGGTCGGAGTTTACTGGGATCCGATGGAGAATTATCTTTAGGATTATCCTTCGGTAGATGTATCTGCCTGATGTGTAACCAAGCTGTTGGGACTTCGCCGCGCTGTAGCCATCTGTGGATCAACGTGGAAAATACTTCCCATACAGGTTCTGGTAACAAGCAAAGGTCGTCCCCGTGAAAGCCATCTAATCCTGCAGCTGAACCCTGAAGTTTTCTGGCTTGGGTGTGGAGAAGCTTACCTGTGAGAGGCGGGATCTGAAGTGGGGCGGGGGAGCCACAAGCTTGGGACCAAGCGTGATTAATTTCAACCAAGTTTTGTGGTTCAGGTCTATTCCAATATTTTTCCCAAAAGGTTTGAATGGCTTGTAGACTTTCTTGGTAAGTCCTGGATTTCACTCCTATTGGGTTATTTTCTGTAGGCTGACTGACCCAAATCTCGGGTGGCAGTGGGGTCTGCTGGTTAAGCAACCACTGGGTGGTGGCTTGATTATTTGTGTTCATTCGGTGTCTCCAATTCCTAAGGCGTGCTTTGCCTAGGAGGTTAAGTTCGGCCGCGAGTTCCTGTTCGACTAGGCTTTCAGTTTCTTGTATGTTTGGGGAAATTGGAATGCCTGCGGGCCAGGCTTTCTGTATTCTTTTCCAAAGTGAAGCTGTAGGGTGATTCTTGTTTTGTTGGCGTTGCCATTCCCGGAGTCTACCCAAGAATTTTGCCAACCTACGGCTACGGAAGCTGGTGTGGGAAGGCTTCTTAGCGTTCATTGGGATTGCCTGGGGCAAACTGCCTATGGCACGAGAGCTAGGTTCGTACTTATGGTTTGGACAAGCTTGTTGCCACTTTTGGGTGAGAAGTGCACAAAAGGTGTTCCATTCAGTTTCTGTGTTGGAGATGAGAGGACATTGGATGTCCTTGAAAACGTTCTGCAATGTTTTTCTCCACTGATGGGTAGACAAGTGCTGTGGACAAAGAAACCGGGTTACAGGTCTAATAGTTGTCGGGTTCTTACCAACCTGGGGAAGGTTAATTCGTAGTTTATAAATCTTGTGGTCTCCCAAGACATGGGAATCGAGTTCTGGGGAACTGCCCAAGTTGGTTTGGGAAGTTACTGCGTAGTCTACTGCACGTGTGGCGTGCCACCGGGTAGGTATTGGGGTTCCTTCATGGTCCACGACCGGAAGAAGGGTTCCTAGCCCGATGGCTTCGTTATCTTCAGGAGTCCAGTTCCAGTCACCTAAACCGATCCAAGGCAAAGGGTGGTAGGACATGCGATGTTCTGTTAATGTTTGGACGAAACTTTCACTTTCATTCTGAGGTCTACGCCAAATACAAGTGATGCACAGGTTCTCGAGTAGGATTGTGAGCAACTGGCCTTCGTCACCTGTCCATTCAGAAACGAACTGCGCTGCAATGTCCTGTCGGACGGCGACTGCCAAGCCTCCAAAATGCACATCATGGCCGAGCGAATTGGTTCTTTCATTGACTTTGGATGTCCAAGCTCTGTAACCCTGTTTTTGGAGGAGACTAAGCCAGGATTTACGCTGAGTTCTGTCGAAGTTAGTCTCCTGGAGACACACTATGGCTGGTTTCTTGGTGGCCAAGACTGGAAGAAGCTCAAAAGCATGAGCGGCCCCATTGACATTTATTGACCAACATTTATAATGCCTTTGCTTTGAAGTCCCAGCTGGGGAATGAATGTGGCAGGGTTCTGGTATATCACTGGAAGATGCTGATTCGGAATCTGAAGTAATGTGCATTGCATCGTGTTCACTGACCTCCAGCTGAGGTCCTGGGTGGGGATGTATCCCTTCTTCACACAAATTGCGAATCCATTGCGAAGCTGTCGGTGCCGTGTTACCCACACTTCTGTTGCGAAACGAGCCCAGGCGCCGAGTCCAGAATGGCTTTTTCAGAGGCAGTTAGTTTCCAGGCTTTCATCAGATGGACGCGAGTGCTGGGGCGAACTCTTTCCCACCATCGTCTCTTGGTCCTGAGATTTGTCCTGCGTAGGTTCTCTTGGCAATGGATAGCGGTGGCTTGTTTCTTGGCTTGAGACCAAGCGCGCCATTGCCCGGTGCACTTTTGGCAAGTGTAGCTAAACTTGTGCACCTTTTCCTGGGGTGTGGGGACGGCAATGATGGAGTGTCCCGTCATTTTGCTCAATTGCTTGCTTGGATCGCTGCTTTCGGTTCGGGCAGCCTTCCGCACAAGCTCTTTTTCGGATTGGGTGAGCTTCCAACACTGAATGACCTGGTTCTTTTTGGGTGCGCTCATTTTCTGGAGCGTGGCAATTCTTTGCAAGATGTTGTTCCGTCTGTCTTGGGATGAGCACTCGGTGGAGTCATGGCAATCATGCAGGACGTCGATCCTACACCAATACCGGCAACATCTGGAACAAGCAAAAGAGGCATGTCGGCCCATTGCTCCTACGGATGTGAGATCATGGGACGAACTGTTTCTGATTTCTTCAAAACGCCCGGCTTTGGCATACAGGCTGGCGACCTGTGCAGGGCTGGCTTGGGGGTCATATCCAAGTTTTGGTAGAAGTGCCTTGACATTCTGGGACATGGTGGCTTGTTTAGGGGCCTTTGAGCACTGGTTGAGGTGGGCCCTGGCTGATGCTTTGCGTTGTCCCACCGGGAGGGGAGGTAGCCTCTGATCACACCATGCACACTGCCAGCCTCCAGTACTCAACGAGAGGCCATGGCTTGCAGGGATGATAGTTTGGCGTGGCTGGATCTGGTGAAAGAAATTCCTAGGAAGGTCGGCATGGTGCTTGCGAATGTGAGCAATTCGTTTGGCTGACAAGAGCGGAGCGCATGTGCTGCGAAGAATCAAAGAGCATTTGTCACAAACCCAATGCTTTTCCTCGACGCCTACGGCCTTGGTGAGCTTCCGGGATGGGCTGGGCTCGGCTGCTGCAGAGCTTTCGGCGAACTGGGTGAGCTGCAGTGATTTCTTCTTTTTGGCATTTCGGGATTGGCTACCCGGGGTTATGGTTCTGTCTTTAAAAATTGACAAGTGCAAGGAAGACCCCTTGCTCTTGACGGACTTGTTGCCGCGGCTGCTTGTGTGCTTGGCACTTGACTGAAAATTGGACAAATGCAACGATGACAAAGGAGTATTCAAAACCTGTTTGCATGGCTGTTTCACAGGGGTGTGTGGCACCCGCTTGGCCGCTCCGCGATGACCCTTGGCTTCTGGTTCGTCCGCTTCGATCCATAGAGAAGCAATGGCTGCACTGTTGCACTTGACCCATTCGTAATGCTTGGCTGCAAACTTGAGCACTACGTATGGGGATGCGTCGTCTCCGCCTTCAAATCTGAATGCTTTATTGATATCAGCATCGATGACCAAGACATTAAACTTTTGCACCTTAGCGAATGCATAGACCTCGAGGAATCCTCCCCAGGATCCTTCTTTTTCCAATGCATCAAGGTATTCACTGAAAGGTTTCACTGTTCTACTGTCGTCTGGCATGCGTTGATCCCACACGTGTTCAAAAATTGTCGAATGCTTTCGCATGGCTGCGACTAAAGCTGCTCGTATCTGTCTGTGGCTGCGATCCTTGGAGTCTATCCAAGAACAAGCGGATGCAAGGCTATGAAAAAGGCAGTTTCCGCCCCCCTTGTTGGGGATCACTTGAGATCCGGAAGGCATAGGGATTGCCTTTCTTTGCTTGGCGCTCTTTTCAGAAGCCGCCTGTGGGGCGGCTCTTTTTGGCTGCCCTTCCATTTTGGCATCTTCGTCTTCTGTTTGAGTTTCCATCTTCTGTGGTTCAACTGCGTCTGGCTCTGTTGCTGTATCTGTGGAAACAAGGTCTGATTTTAAATGAGAACTGCGGACGACAAAGGAAGTGCCACGTTCACGCTTCAACTTCATTGGCTCTTTGGAAGGCTGTTTCTGCTTGTACTCCCGTGAGGCTGAAAGGAGGACTGCGCTGTCAGCTTCTCCAAGCTGGACTGGGATCTGCACTCTGTGGTCTGATCTACGCGCTTTGAAGAACCAAACTGCTGTGTTTTGTTTTCGAGGACTGCGTCCCAGAATCTCGACTTCTGTGAAACCTGTGGATGTCAAAATTTTTTCAATTTCGTCATATCCATAAGGTCTGGGGACCTGTGCAAGGCGCCATGATCCCCGTTCTGGCTGGACTCTGGCGTCAGTGCTTTTAACACGAAGGCCAACTTGCTTGTTGCCTAGTGCTAAACCCATGTCTGTGGTCTGAATGCGAGCCTTCTCCAGGTACTGAGTTGGAAGTTCTTGGGGCTCCAGTGGAACCCAAACTGTGACTGGTTTCTCCGTGTGACCCATGCTTGGCCAATGGGTCGGGTCAATGAACCATGTGGCACCACCTGCTGTGGAGCCGCTGCGAGGCAACATTTGGAGCGCTGTATTTTTCTGAATGCGAATTTTGCCACGGATGGAATCTTCACAAAGCTCCCATCCCCAGATATCTTTGACTGCGTGGAGCCATGGCGTCGAGAATCTTGCAATCCACTCTCTCATGGCTCTGCCGGGGTTCTTCTTTGCCTGGGACCAGGACTGAATGGATGAAAATCTTTGAGGCATGATGATTCTCAAGACAACGGTGTCACTTGGGTCTGCGGTGGCTGGCTGCGCAGCTTTCTCAATTTTTGCTGTTTCTTTAATGGTCAGCACTTGTCCTTGGCCCTCTGGGGCTGCGACTGCAACTTGGCATTGTCTCAACTGCAAGGTGCCATTGCACATACCTGGTAAAATCTGGGTTGTGCAGTGATGATTGGTCCAAATGCTCTCGTTTTCTGCATTGACTTGGCCAGTGTAAATTACCGTGGCGGTGCAAGATTTCGCGCCTTTGAGGAGACTGGCCATCTCTTCAAAGGTTGCTGTGTCATTTGCTTGGCACAAAAGAGGTTTTGCTGGTTCGTCCAATGCTGCGGCAAAGTCATGAGCATTGGACAACACATGATCATATCCTAGGTCGACTGCGTTGGCCATGGGGATCGTGTCATACCTGTGGCAGTTGTTGCTCTTGTGACAGCAGACAACATTGTGGGGAGGTGAGGCTTATAAGATCTTATGAGTGGCTAGGCCCAGAGTTCAACGAGTTCAACTAGACACTGTTCATACAAGGAAACTGCAGCTGCCAAAACGGAGTAGCATGATGTAGCATGTAGTGGCTGTACAAATGCACGTGTACTTAGTTCAAGAAGTACAAAGACATACAAAGACCAAGGTACCTGTGGCCGTTGTTGCTCTTGTCGGAGCCTCCATAAGGCTGGCTGCGAACAAAGATTTGGCACAAAGCACCCTTGAACTTAGGGGCTGCGGGCTGATCCAACAAGCCCTTGTAGTCCTTGGCAATGACGGTGAGACCGCTGCAGTCGACAGGCCCAGGGCAAGCCATGACAGAAAACCTCAAGAATTACAAATGAGGCAAAGACGCAGTGAGGGTTCTTGATCCAAACTCTCCACAGCGAGAAAAGGCAATGAGTCAGAAAATGTCAGCAGGCATCAAAATGTCAGAAGATGTCAGCAGGAAGGCATGCTCTGAAATCGCTTTGAACATCTAGAACATTTTGAGCAGCGGGAATTGGAATAGATTCTCCATGGCTTTGAGGCATGACAATGCCCGTCCGGTTCTGTGTCAGAACTAACAGTCAGCGACATGTTGGTTGCACCAAGCAACTCTGCATTGCAATTAAATGAACCAAAGCTTTGGGCTAAACTCAGCAGCTGCATTTTCTCTGTCAGTCGATTGATTACGTATAGATAGAGGTACAATGAGCTGGCACGTTTCCAGCAGCGACCAATGCCGCTATGTCAGATGTTTCCTCTGGAAACATGCAAAGGCAGCGGGCGCAATTCTGCGCCAAAAGCAATCAATGAATCACAATGAATCAATGAGGCAGCCTTGTTGTTGAAAGAGCTGCTACAAGAGTCTATGTTGTCCTCACTTCTTGGACAGAATGCCCAGGGCCTTCTCCCCCATAAGATCTCCATATCTCTTGGCTTCTGCCTTGTCTTCCTCAGTGATGTCATCCCAGCCGGCAGTGGGGGTGTCGTCCTTGCAGTAGGCAGCCAAGCAGCGGCTGATCCCAACGCAGGAGCAGTTGAACCTTGGATTTGCTTAAGAGCCACCCCAAAGAAAATAAAACATATTTCATATTCGTCATATTCCCTATAGATTCTCCAAGTGGGTTTCCCATTGAGAAAATAAAAGAATATCAAAGAAAAAAACATCCTCAGCAAATCCCAAGAACTCACCAACGATCCACTTCTCATCCTCAGGTTTAGTTCCAGGTGGAGAAGAATTGATGAAGTCAGTGGTCCACCACAGCGGCAAAGGCTCATCTGCCAACTCAAGAGATGGCATGACGTGCTGCAAGTCCTTCTTCAAGAAGTTGTTGGTGAGAGCGGCAAAGAGTGGTTCCTCTGGGCCATAATAGGTGTAGACGGAACCAGTTCCACCAACTGCGGAGATTCCTCCCTCCTTGGGCTTCTTGTGAATGATGCCAACCAAAGCATCTCCCACCAGGTTGTATCGGAGCTCACCTTCCACAATACGAGGGCAGAAACGCTGATCCACAAGCTGGCCGCCGGCCTCCTTGCCACCCTCCAAGTACTTGCCAACACCCTTGGATGTCCATTCACCGGACTTGGAAGTTCGGCCATTCACGCAGAATTCGATAAACTCAGCCACGGTGTGTTCTTCCTCGTGGTTGTCATTGGCCTCCATCAGCAAAAGCTTCTCACCATCCTCGCAGGATCTCTCGCCATAAGAAGCGCAGTAGTTGCCCTCCTTGAGCTTGATAATCCAGATTCCTTGATGTTTTTTGAGTGATGCACTCTGTGAGGATACAGCAAATAAAGAAAATGGTGATTGACATTGATTGACAACATGATAAAACGATAAATATATATATATATATAACAAATGCATGTTTATATATGTAATTATATATATATATGTGTGTGTTTATGTGATTTATGTGCAAACCCAGATTCCTTCACCTGATGAGCCACGGTTCTGCTTGATCACTCGAGGCTGGAATGCCATGGTCTTCTTGAACCCTGTCGCAAACTCCTCAGGGGAATAGTAGGCAAGAGTGTCTTCCAGGCCAATGTTCATCGTTGCCACCTTGCAAAGAGCATCCTTTGCTCCCATCTTCTCCATGACATCGGGAGATGGCCAGACCTGGATACCCAGCTTGCGGATACCCCGCATGCCATCATCGAACTTGTTCTGGTCACCGCCATCAGCCTTGATCTGGCCGGGGTTGCATCGAACGATTATGAAGTCAAAGTTTTTACAAACCTCGAAGAACTTGTCATGCTCCTCATGGACATAATGGATGAGCTGACAGCTCATGCCGGCATTAATCATGCCGTTGGCCATGGGGATCGTGTCATACCTGTGGCAGTTGTTGCTCTTGTGACAGCAGACAACATTGTGGGGAGGTGAGGCTTATAAGATCTTATGAGTGGCTAGGCCCAGAGTTCAACGAGTTCAACTAGACACTGTTCATACAAGGAAACTGCAGCTGCCAAAACGGAGTAGCATGATGTAGCATGTAGTGGCTGTACAAATGCACGTGTACTTAGTTCAAGAAGTACAAAGACATACAAAGACCAAGGTACCTGTGGCCGTTGTTGCTCTTGTCGGAGCCTCCATAAGGCTGGCTGCGAACAAAGATTTGGCACAAAGCACCCTTGAACTTAGGGGCTGCGGGCTGATCCAACAAGCCCTTGTAGTCCTTGGCAATGACGGTGAGACCGCTGCAGTCGACAGGCCCAGGGCAAGCCATGACAGAAAACCTCAAGAATTACAAATGAGGCAAAGACGCAGTGAGGGTTCTTGATCCAAACTCTCCACAGCGAGATGTCTCAATACTATGGCGTTCCCACACGTTGGCCAAAGGTGCAAACTTTAAGGGTCATCGTCAATGTCCAATGGGGTTGTCTCAAAACGCTGAACCCCCAAAAACCGGTGGCTTGTCATCATTTTCCCCAGCAAGATTGCCATAGACTCGTACGGATATCTCCAGGGACGTTCCACCTCCAGAAATCCATCTGGAAGATTCGGCAACACCTCGGGATTGGGTCCTAAAGAACATGGCTCCCAAGGGACTTCAGCCTAATACTTGGTGGCTCCAGCATCTGGAAGATTTAACCATTAAAAATGATGGAGAAACAGGGGAAAATTGGGGATTGAATACAGGATGTAATGAGATAATATAGAACCAAAAAGATATGATAGCTGGCTGCGCAGCTATCATGTGGTTGGGAAACCCTGGTTGTAGCTTCTTGGCTCCCCAATAATGGGTAGCTACTGCCAGCCCAATCCCTACCACCAGCCAGACAGAGATGGGAAAAGCATATCAAATACTCAAGACATCTCAAAAGCATCGAGCAAATTGATGCAAATTCAATCCAACATGCATCTACAACATGAGGACCCCCAATGATAGGTTAGATACCCTATAAACCCCAGTTCACCAAGTTCCGCGGATAACTTCAAGATCCCATCGTTGCGGCCCCTGAAACAGAGGTAATGTGATAAACCCAATAATAAAACCATCCTTTTTTGTGGATGGCTTATTATGGGGTTTACCTCATGAATAAAGCTCCAATTTTTGAGGATGTATACCACCCATTTCTGAAAATGGGGCCGATTTGTTTGGGGTTTATCACATTACTTGGATGAGTGCGGAAAGCTTTTGAAGCATGGCTGATTGATTCGACTCAACGAGCGAATTACCCAGTTGCTGTACGAGTGCAGGGATACTAGGGCTGCCCTGCACTGAAATGAGATGGTGATGGCGATCCCTTCAAATCCCGCTATGTCATGAAAAATAGCCCAGCATATTCTCAATGAATTGAGGCACTCAAAAAATCTGCGGATTTTCCATGGTGTTGACATGTGTTTACCTCCAAAATATCGTGTGTTCCCATGGCTTTAAAAAAAAAACAAGTCTGGAATTTTGCAGCTCAGGGACCGAGGGCGAGATGGTGTCATGATCATCTTCAGGCCTCAGACTGAAGCCCATCAGAATGGCCAGGTTGTCATCGGTACCCTCTGGTTTCTTGAACATGGCTGGAAAATCCATTCTAAAAACCTTCATTCAGTTCGGATGTTCAATTGCCATGTTTGATTGCCGGAGGGTACATTTTTTTTTTTGAATCCTCAAAGATTGGAATTGCCCCTATATGAAAACGACATATAAAATATCGCTATATTTGAATCCTCAAACATGGGACAAACCTATGAGAAGAGGTGGTTAATCTACCCTTCTGAAACGGACCATGCTGACATAATTTCCATCCAGTAACCCAGAGGCAATTGAGTGGGTCGGCCGTTTCACCCATCAATCCCAATCCCAATCATTTGAAATTGATGTTCTTTCTGTTTTGTTGATCAAACCATGATGAAAATCAAGTTTTATGGAAATGATGAAAATCAAGTGTCTTCCGTTGGAAATGATGAACATCAAGTTTCATATGGACTTGATCAACTTTTCTGGAAAGTTCAAGTTTCAATACTTTTCAAGTTTATAGGGCAATATGGCTTGATCAAACACTGAGCCGTTTTATGGAAAGTTCATCATGTTCACGGCTCAGTGGATACGGCACTGGATTTCTGGAGGCGATCGGTTTTCTGGGCAAACTGGGCCCTTCTAAGCGGCATCGACGACAACCTCAGACAGCTTCGGCTACGCCCAGATTGCTACCACCAAGGTGTCATCAACCACCAAAAATGGCTGGGAAATGCCCATTTGTATGGGCATTTTAATGGGAACATCATCTGTAAATGGGAAATTTCCATTGCCATGTTTGACTACCGGAGGGTAAGTGGAAAAATTGCTGAAACACATCATGCCGAACCTTCATCATCTGCTTTCGGAGAAATCATCGACAAATCGTTGACTTGAATCACTGGTGCAATCATTGACACATTGTTACAAATCATCGTAAATCTACAGAAATGGCTTGCCTAGGACTTCGGTTCTTACTCATATAGCTATGGAACATCACCATCTTCAATTACGGAAAGTCATCTCATGTTGCCAAATCGTTTTCGCCAAGGCCTTTTGAGATCCCGACTGGCCCGGGACAAGCCTGGAGCCGACTCCAAATTATTCAACATCTCCTGCGGTTTTGGCGTGTAACGGTACCATCTTGGGATACCCTGTGAAAGAATAATGACTGGGAATATTTCATGGCAATATCACCATGATGGGATAGTAGTGGAATATGAATGGGCAATTTATATACATATATATATATATATGTATAACTATATATATATAATGTATATATAATGTGTATATATATATATATAATTATATATAATGGGATAGTAAATAGGATATTAACCTTGTCATCAAGGCTGGGAAATCCCCAAACTTGAATGGCAGAGGGTACTTGGTGGTTTCGACCTCCCTGAAACAAGGGGACCAGAGGCAGGGTGGCCATGATAGGCACTTCAAGATGCCACGGAATTTGGCAATTTGGGGATTTTGCAAGACATCAGAATTCGTTGATTGATGACAGATGTGGAGATTGCACAAGTGTTTTCAATACTTCACAAGAAAATGGATCAAGGACTACCTATACCATTCGTGTTATTTCGGCTTGATCTTGTATTTATCTACACTACATACTTGTTCATGCTATTCACAGCTGCCCCAGCTACAGCATAGTGGAATTTCCCATATGCTCCCATGATTTTCCCATCACTGGGGGTCTCTGAGGCCCACGCGCTATCACCTTCGCCATCACCTTGCTCTCGCATATCTGCGATATCTGCCCCAGCATCCTGTGAACACCGTGACCCCCACGATTTCACCAAGGGGATGGATCAAACCATTGATATCTGCTGTGCCTGTCACCGATTGGACCAATGATCCAGGAGATGCCATAAAACCCAGAGGGTCTCCCAATATGTTTTGGCATATCGCTGATGACAGCGTCGACATGAAGAAGCCCGGAAGAAAACACGATTCGAACTTCGAACTGCTCATCGTTTGCGTTCATTTACAAATTATGACCTTATGAAACCGAAAAAGGTGTGTCTGCAACTGGGGTATACCCCCGATCCAAATGGCCATTGAATGTGGAAAATCCATGGATAACTCCTTGGAATTGGAGATTCCCTGACCAAGTACAGCCGAGGGCCCGAAGGGCCTGCACCACGTTGGAACCTTTGTGGAAGTTGGAGAGGCCTCAGCTGATGCTCTTCCGGAGATCACCAGAACTTTTCACCATGGCACATTGTAAGATATGGATGCGTTTCATGCAAACTGTTGGAGGGAAAGTTACCATAGTTATCCATAGTTATCCATAGTTCATCACCAGAAATCACTGCTTTCCTGATGAATCTTCCATCCATCGATGTCACTCCTTTGATCAGCTCCACAGAACCAAACAATCGCTGGGGATGGCCAAACAAAGTCGATTTTCTCCATGACTCTGGGGTATCTTTACTGGAAAAAATCTCCCAGTGATGGGGCGGTTTTTTTCGGGATTAGTAGCATTTCACAAACGCTACTAGTAGTTTTTATAGTTTTTTATACGCTATTAAGCTATTAGTTAGGCTTTCCCAGTGATAGCCAGTGTCAAGACGGGACATCTCCGACTCGTGGTGGAAATCCACTGATCTGTTTTGAAGTTCAGCTGACAAAAATCCTTGATTTCTTCAAAGGGGACATGGTTCCTTCCGGGTGATGTTCCTCTCATTCGCCGATGAAACCCAAGAGACTTGTTGGCAACTGTTCCATAAATTCCTCATATCTCCCCATCGAGGTTTAGGGTCCAAACTCCAAAAATCTTGCCAAAAAAGGTGCGGGGAAAAAAAAAAACTAAAAATAACACCCAGTTTGAAAATGGTGGCACACATTGATTTTGTTGTGCACTTTCTTGGTGGTTATAGACATTTATGACCATAACAACCAACAGCCACAAAAAAAACAGTCCTTTGCCGCCCAACCCAACACAGGTGTGGCATCCAGGTCTTCTACCTCAGGAAGAAAAACTGGGAAACAGTTGAGGAAACACTTTCTGAAGATCATCAAATCTTCCACATCTTGGGAAGGCACTTGGAGAATTTCTGAAGATATCACTTCAAAATCTTTGGAAACGTGTCCCCATCAGTCTTCCAAGAGAACTCCTCAAAGAATCCTAACTCAGCCTCTTCTGAATGATGTTCCTACTCTTCAGAACCATGGAAACTTAACTTAAAATACAAACCAAAAATAACAATGACCTATAGAGCCTATAGACCTATAGTGACTTTCACGTGGTTGGGAAACTCTGGTCCCCACTTTTTGGGTGAATACAAATGCGAATACCACTGGCTCGGAACCAGGCGAAACCTAGGTGTGAAAACTGTCCTAACCACTGGATAGAAAATTATCCTCTCGTAATTACACATGGTACCCTCTGGTTATGTCAAAATAGCTATTGAAAATGACCATAGAAATAGTGGATTTTCCCATTAATCATGGTGATTTTCCAGTTCGCTATGTTAGTTTACCACATGGTAATGGGAAATCCGCTGTAAATTTCGAGTTTTTTTTTGTCTGGGAAAAACATCCAAACGAAATGGTGGATGTTCCAGCCATGGAGCTGATGATGACACCTGAGGGTATCTCCGATCATATCATATATCATATCATATTGTATTATATTATGTAGTATTATGTCATATTATATCATATATCATATCATATGATATTATATCATATTGTATCACCGTTCATATTCCATGAATATCCCATCATGGATATATTCCCATTTGAATATGCCCATGAGAATTCCCATGAAGATTCCACAAAACCATGGTTATATAAATCCCATTAAGATTCCCATTAAGATTCCATCACATCATGGTTATATCATAGAATTCACCAAGTTTAAGTGATATTACCATGATTTGATGGTTACTTTTTTGGTTACATATTCTATAGAATCAACATGGTTACATCATATAGAAGACCATCCCAAAAAACGCCCCCCATCAAGGCCCCCCAACATCCCCGCAAGGCATAGTGCCCCAGGCCCTTCTCGCTTCGGCTGGCAGATCCAACATGGCAGCCATCGCCGGCCTGGCGACGAGTCGTGCCAGGCGTACCATGGAGGGATGTTTCAATGGGGATTCATGGATCTTTAATGGGAATTGATGAAGGCTAATGGGGATTAATGATGATTAATGGGAATTAATGGGGGTTAGTGATGATTAATGGGGTTTTAAAGAGATGAATGGTGGTTAATTGTATGGGATTAATGGTGTTCTGTTTGGATTAATGGCAATCAATAGGGATTCATGTTTTCAGATTGCTAATCCAAATTATTAATCGGAATCAACAAGGATTAAGGGGCGGGGGTTTTATAGAGGTTAGTGAGAGATATTATAGTTCACATCAAATGTCAGCTAAGTTGTTGCAAATAACTAGCATGGCTGCTGGATTTATGGTAGATATATATATATATATATTGTCAATGGATGTTAATGTTGATCTGTTGTTCATGGCAAACCAATGATTTCAGTACTCAATGGTGGGATGCCATGAATAATGAACCATGCCTTACATGTACTTGGGACATAATCTGGAACAAACCCCGTGGTATAGTCATCAGTTTGTTTGGGAAAGAACTTCGGGAAAAGATGTCATGCAAAATTACAAAACAAACAACAACACGTCCCTGAAGTTCGAAATCCCATCCCATCCCACCACCATCCCACCACCACCAACAACAGAATGTAACTGGAACCCCATCCCACCACATCGCTGTAAATGGGTCCACAGGCCGGCCACGCGTTTGATACCCAGACCACATATCGTAGAGTTCCAAGGGCATGCGCTGTGCCATTGGAAGCTCCTCATGGTGAACCAGGGCGCTGAAGGCTCCAGAATTGCCCCTCCTTTGGGGTAATGTGGGCAAAACAATGTCATAAACCATCCCCCAGTCATCACCATAAATAGATATAAATAGGTGATATGTTTACCATTCCCAGTCATGGGTGGTAAACTGGCATTGTTCTAACCACATTCGATTGGATAACCTCTGCAAAAATGGACTTCACCAGTGAAAATCATGGTATTCACCAATGGATAGCCATGAGTTTCATATAATATATGAACTCTGTTCACCATGATTTGTCATCATATGATATAGTTGGTAAATCTCATATAACTTTATGATAAACTATAGTTTTGTCATCATCAACAGTTCACCAACAAAGTTGTCGCCGCTGAAATCGGTCCCGAAGACTGGTCTGCTGCTCGAAGAATTGGGGCCCAGCGCGGTTGTCAACCTTAGCGGGCAAGATACATATGATGCGAAGACGATGGGTATGGGTACAGAAGTTTTTGCTTCATATATATATATACATATACATATTAAAATATTATCATATATATATATATAATTATATTATAATATTATACATTTAAAGAAAAATACCATGTTCGAAATTTGTTGGTTGGCCAAGTTCAGTCTGAAAAACTTATGATTTCCTTCCCAAAAAACCCGCCCGAAGACTTGTCAGCGCCGGACCCAGTGACTGGAGACCGTTGAGGAACCTTCTCTGTTGGCCTGGAAAGGGTGAAAAAAATCTCCCTCCAAAGAAGGTGAAATGCCCCAAAAAGATGCCGAAAAGTTCTGTCTCCAGGATGGTGTGTGTATATATATATATATGTATATATATAATGTTATATATTTATATATACATAATGTTATATATATATACATAATGTGCATACATAGATGATGTTTTCATATGTTCCTCCTGTATTTTGCAGGTGTCCAACTGTTTTTTCTCTTTTTGGGGCTGCTATCTAATCCTTGGTCCTTGCTACTTGGGGCCGTGCAGGACTGGCTATGGTGAAATGTATCCACTTAGTTCACTGGAACTGCACCCAAGTAACTATCTTGGTATCCAATCACTTGCAATCCTATAGATTCCAATAGTCCATGATCCTCCTCAGACCTGTTCAAAGTCTATTTTTTGATGAGAGCAGTCTTACCCTCGAACGGTGTGGGTGTCCTCCATTCTTCAACACCCACTTAGCATGTCGTAGCATCATTCGGATTGGTTCATGATATCCATGCGCCTTTCCTGGTATGCCAACACTATACTCCCAGAATTGAGATAATTACCCGTGAAACCCTACAGGGAAACAAAATAATTTGAAAACGAGGCGGTGTCTTCAAAAAAAAGTCCAGAAAAAAACCAACCCAACCGGCCTGTTGCGGCTCGCGGCTGGGGGCATCTTCATGACCTTTACGGCCGGCCTGGAGAAAATCGGAGCAGTGCATTTTTCGACCTCAAAATCTGGGGGAATCCCCTCATCCAGGGGATATGAGTAGAACTTCAATGTACAAGTATGACACTGGGTTTCTAATCGGTCTGGAACTCCATATGTTCCATCATTTTGTTGAGTTCTTATGAGTAAAAGAGAAGAAGTTGGGGGTAGTAACCGGTATAACTGTATTGCATGTGTAATCCAGCGGTGGAATAGATAATTATTTGGTCGTGGGCTGGGTTTATTCTTGGAACTATGGTGATCCCCTCAATGAATAGGGATATATTAATCCCTATATAACTATTGCAAATACATATATACTGTAGATTACTGTGTATATATATATATAATATATATAACGAATTTCCGCGGCTCGGCCTTTATCCAAGATGCTTGAGCCAGATGCATGTTTGGATCTGGCATGAGTAGTTTCTGTTGTTGTGAAACTATGTAATTACACCCAGACTCAAAACGTCCCCCCCGGAATTCGAATCACATTGCACGGTATCACGCTGGCAAATGCACTGCGGTGCGCCACTCCGAATGCGTATGCCGCTTTCCGGCTAGGGATTCATTTCTGGTTGATCTTGGTCGATAGACATGGCCCTAATGTGAGAATCCCAAGAGGTATAGTTATACCATTCTATAATGATGATAGGGAACTATACAACACATAATCCCAAGATATTGGGATGGTATAATTCCCTAACGAATCATCATGCAAAAAAGAGGTTTTGCCGCTGGCCCTGGCCTCATCGACCCAAGAATCCACACAGGGAACCCTACCATCTTCTGAACCCCTCTTTTTTATTCTTTTTTAACAACCCATAAATCCCCATATCTGATGCAATCCTCCTGGAAAAAAGGGGGTCAAAATTGGATTTCTTTAATTCCAATGAAACATGTCCATCACACCGAATTCCAAACAACATCTCAAACAACACAGAATCGTGGCGCGTCAGTTAACTCAGGGATTGTTGACTTGGGGCCCCAAACAGCGATGTGCCCCCCAATGGCTCCATCACAGACTAGACCTTGGTTCCAAGCCAGCGGGGGATTGGTCAAATGGCTTTTGTGATGGTTTTCTTCATCTATAAAAACTCCAGTCCCAACATTGGTGCTATTTTACATTGTATCCCAACAATCTCACCATGAAATGGAAATACCAGGTGGGGGTGTTTGATATGCATATCATGCATATCATAGCTTTTTTTCACACTTGTTGGCAAAAAACAGGCTACACATATCCAAATTTCCGGAGTGTTCGTTGCCACAAAAGCCCTGGTCCTGGACCGTTTCAGCTCCAGGCCCACCAAGAGCATCGGTTGACCACCCGCAGGCCAGGTACAGAAGGGGGGAACCGTCCTGCGACAGCTGCGCATTGCGCAACGTTGCAACGTTGCCTTCGAAGGTTCATTGCTTCCGAAGCATCCAAAAATTGGATGAATTTGCCAGATCCCAAGGAGATCCCAAGGTTCAAATAACGTGATGATTTAGGGATTTCTATCTCTGGGGGGATGGCCTAATGAAAAAAAAATGACTTGTTTAGAGAACATCACCAAATACCAGAAGGAGCCCTGAAATGATATTGATTAACACATCGAATAAAACTTGAAGAGATGACAGGTGATGGCATGTCTTCTTAATAGGCCAGATCTGGGCCCTTGATTGATAGTCTGAAATGCTTTTATTAGCACATTTCGTCCCTCACTGTGTCTGAATGGACTCGGATGGTTCAAACGACACAGCAGATAGCTTTCATACCAAACAGATCCAAATAGATCAGTCCAAATTGCCATGCTTTTTTTGTGATTTAGACTCGCACCAAATGGTAATTTCCAACCTTCATAACTCGACAGATTTCGCACCAACCTTAATCTATAGATTTGCTCTAGACTTGTTGGTATGTTTGTTTCGCCCCAACACTTCAATATACCAACACATCCCATTCCCAAGGCACCCGTTGTGCGCCCGCTGTGGGTACTGCCCAGTGGTGAGGCCTGTGGTCCTCGGGAGAGGAAATGGTTGGATTTCCCCCATTTTGAACCAATTTACATCAAGTATCATATCATAAGCTATATAAGTAACCATTATAAGCTATATAGTTCTGATGTTATAATATATATATATATACGTATATCATGAATATATACATCAAGTATCATTCATGATAGTCAATGGATTGGTTCAAGGAAAATTTTACAGGAAAGGCCCACAATTTAATGGGAAAAACTATGGTTTCCGGTTTTTTGATTTTCCCTTAAACCAATCCATTGAATGTCAGGTGGTTTATCATTGCATTCGGTGTGGCTTGTCATACACCATTTTTTTCGGCTGAGCATCATCCGATTGAACTCAGTGGTATAGCAAGGGTTCGTGTAAAGCCTGTCACGGCATCGGCACTCTGAAAGTGGCTGGGACTAGCAGGTGGAAAATCCATATGGCAATGGATATATGAAAATCCATATGGAATCATATGAATCTATAATTCTGGATATGTTACAATTATAATTCCATATGTTGTATGTATACATAGATAGATTATAGTAGTTCACCACCCTGAAAAGTCCGGCTATCAGAGGATAGTTATCCCATGTTACCCCCACCAACCATAGTCAATAGTGACGTCACAGTGCGGCCTTTAGAACGGACAAGGCCATGGGATCAGTTCAGGACACTTTTTTCGGAGGCTGAAGGGTGAATTCAATCATCCAACACGGTAAACAACCCTTAAAATCCATTGTAATCCACGAGAATACCATGTAATTTGTGATATAGGACACTATATATTCCCTATAAAACACTACATAGTCCATTACAAAACACCATATAATCCATTATAAGACACTATCTATATATATATATATAATTACATAATATAGATATATATATATATATAATATATATATATATACAGTACGTCTTAGAACACGTTGCTCCCCCGGTCCCAATAAGGACTCACCTCTCCAACAGGTTCACCAGAGAAATCAAGGACTGCTCCTCCTGCGTGAGTCGTCTCCTCAGTTTTTGTGGGAAAAATCGAGAGACCAATGGCACTAATGGACCAATTGAATGATGATTTTGGATATCAAACTTTGATGAAACTTTAAGAAATACCTATGAATTGGGGGGGGTCCATAAATGGATCCATAAATGGATCCCCCAATAGGGATGGTTTATTTCATGGAAACTCCTATTGACATGGATGATTCAGGGGTACCATGGATCGGAAACCTCCAGAAGTTAAATATGGGCGAAATGACCCCATTCATAGATGAGTTTCCCAGCTACAAGGCTAATATGGCACTGGAAATATGGATGCTCAACATGATGATAAATATGAGATACTTATGGGATACCATGATATGTTATAATCTTAGAATATATCCCGTAATGGAGAATGTATACCCTCCGGTAGTCAAACATGGCAATGGAAATGTCCCCATTTATAGGTGCTGTTCTCAGCTATATACCTCTATTTATCGGGGATTTGAAATTTTGATCACCGGATGGTATATTACAAGGTAATATACGGGAGTTGATCCAAATTCATGAAGATTCGGGAAAAGTTGGTAAAGTTGGAATCAACTGTCAGAGACTTGTTCAAGGTGGTCCCCCAGTTCGGAATCGCTGAAGTTGGTGAACATAACTCCAATTTCACTCGGATTTCTGGTAGATCTATCGAACTAAATCATACTAAATCTATAGTACCCTGGTTTACAAAAAAACATCAAAAAACCCACGAAATTCGTGGGGGAGCACCACCTTTTGGGAAAATAGATGGGTTTATCTGAAAATTGGCGACCTCCAAATTTGGGTTGTACCCCATTCTTGGCCAGACCAATATCTATTTTCAGACACAGCCATTGCATGGAATATGATGAAGCAATTTTGGAACTACAAACTCTCTTCCATACAATGACAATATCATACAATCTAGAAACAGTACATGTTCAATCATAAAAGATTCGTCCGTTTGGGGTTCACCCAGCGGGTAAATGAGAATCATTCACTGACAGTCACTGACCTGAACAAAGTTCGGCTGTTTTGGGATAGTTTCCCCGAATCCATTCATTCCAGGCTTCGGTCGTTCTCTGCAAGGTCGTCAAACAAAATTACCCAGAGGAATCATCCGAAAACTCAACGCATAGACGTCCCCCCCAGCGACCCTCCCGCGCTTCGTCTCAGCGACATATGCCCCACATGTCGAAGAAGCCGTCGACGAACTAATCGTTTGGATGTATGAAATGCGACCGCCTGGCGTTTGACCAAATTTTGCCTCGTTGATACTCAAGGTTGATACTCAAGGTTGGGAGTTTCCTAAAAAGGGGGACCCCACAAAATCATCCATGTTTTTTCAAATAAATGGGAAAATCCATGGTTTGCGGTGCCAATATTTCAGCAACCCCCCAAATGCTGGATGTTAATTTGATACCAATGGTTTTATTTTAAGATTCCCCAACTTCAAATCCAGCATGTTGATCTCACGAATGGAGAAACCCATCAGACTCCATCACCAACCCTTTTTGCACCGCCTCTCCTAGGCTTCTGTCCAGTCCACTCCGGCTTTACCGTACATGTGACACGTGTCACACCGGCTGTCCCAGTCCCTGTACTAACCACAACGTGCCATGAGATGACGAGCTAGACACCAGGTTCAAGCCTCCGCTTTATTTCGGAAGCGCCCCAAAAAACATCCACGGCTTTGTCTAAAAAAAAAAACTCCAAACAGCCAAAGGAAGTAAAAAAAGGATGTAACTTAGTCCCACAAAATTCATGATTTCTTGGGTGACCTGAAAATCTTGTTGGACAAGACTGCATAATGGATGCTGGGGTTCACTTCCTTGAGATTTGGCACGCACCAAAGTCTCTTTGCAACGAATGGCTCACCTGTTTCGACACCTTGTCATTCGGCAAGGTGCCAACTTCGAAGGATTGAGGTCTATTGAGTCTCTACTATCCGAGAACTCGCTAAACCTCTCAGGATCCTCTCTAAGACTATGCGTTGCTGTTTCAGCGGGCAAGCGACAATCTTCGCTTAGCAGCAACAACAGCTGCAGGCCCAAAAATTGAATTCGGATTTGTCATGGGACTGTTAGGGTACCCCCAAAAGAAAAGTTGGGTTTGTTCAAATAGCCATCAAATAGTATATGGAAAATTAGCAAATGAGCTTTTAAAACATTGGACTTGGGGTCCCGGAAATCTTCAGTCAAACCCGGTTGATGATGGTTCAGACCCCGAAACTCGTGGCAATGGTTGATGACCAAGAATGGCAGTAGCCCAGGGCCCATGACTTCTGGATTAGGGGCCATGCGGCCGTTACAAGAGCGGGTTGAAGTCGGGTTCGGACCTTGGAAGTCCAATGAAAAGTCCAGCAATCCAACTGGTTCACGGGAAAATGTCCATGAAAACCCTTATTTTTATATACCTCTAGATATAGGATGATAGGATGATATAGGATGATATAGGGCTGTCCTGCAGATTTTCCTACCAATTCTGGGGAAAGAATGATGGTCTAGCTGGACGTCGCCATGATTTTTTCAGGGTTCATCTCTGGAATTTTCACAGTTGGAGAAGAATCTTCTGAACAGGTGGGTTGCGATTATTCGAGCCACTGCGCCGGTGCAATCTTTGGCTTTACGCCCAGCTAAGGGGATGATTTCCCGACACACATTCACCATCATGCCCCAAAAAAAACCGTCAGGACGTGTGGTCATGATGGGATTCATCGAGATACATTATCATAGTGAATATCGCATAGTCCTATGATATTAGATATACTATAATATATGAATTATCATCATATCACATAAATTCACATAATATAATAGATACACTATCACATCATATCACATAGTGATATTCTCCCATGATAGGTCCCTTCATATCCCTATGAACCCCTATGTATCAGCCAGAAATCCATCATCGATCCAAGTGGCAATCTCCCCTTGGATAGCCTGTTCCAAAGGCTCATGGTCATAGGTAAGGACCCTGCCTTGGCACTAGGCCCACAACAACCCCTTAAAAAAAAGGGAACGAAAGCACCTTGCAAGCCTTGGACACCTGGAAAATACGGGAGGAACACATCTCGAACACTTTCTGGCACCTTTCTGAGGTGCTACATTTTTTTTGATTTCCGTATTATGGTCAAAGGATAGGATCAATCATTAATCTTTGTGACACACCCCTTTTTGCTCTCGTCGGCCAAAAGGCAGATGTGACTGGAACATAGCTTCCTCGGCATCCTGAAAGTTCGTAGAGCTTGTCACCTGAGTTGGTCGCACACTTTCCAAGGAGAGAAGACTTTATAGATCCCACTAAAAGTTCCCAGGTTTTTTTGTTGGGCATGTGCCAAAAAATCTATCTGCTGGAGTGATGACGGGTGATGCGGTTTTTTTCACTACAGTCACTACGACATTTGCCAAGCCCTACATATTCTCTCGGAGTGTTTGGATCTGGAGATGTCATGTGGCGATGGGTCAGCTTGCCTACGAAATGACCAGAAATGACCATATGACTGGGGGGAATAGACATCTATAAATCCAGTTTGCAGCTGTGGCACTTCCAGACCTGGCAGCTAGGTTTCGAAAAAGCAGCTGTTTATGAAAAGTCACCTATGGATACCTATGGCCTACTGTATGTCTGTCTGTGGTTTTAAAATCGAAATGTCATGATACCAAATGGCTACTGATGAGAGAAATCAACAGATTGAGATAGATGCAAGCTAGAATCCACTACCATGTTGCCACGGTTGTGGATGGTCGTTGTGATTAGATTTCCTGCTCGGCCAAGCCTTTTTTCAAAACCATGGCTGCAGACACCCTTGCGGTCCAACCTAGTCTAACCTTCCACAGCTCCTGTTTAGAGCTGTGCAACGTCTAATTCATTGTCTGGGTTGGTGGTTTGAGGCACTTTTTACCAACAAAAACATGAACTTATCATGCCAATTTGGACCGATGTGGGATCATCCCATGTGGGATGGCAACTCAAATAACCAATCCTTGAAACCATCAGCCAGTTAAGTTCAAATCAAGGTGACCCTAACTTCGAATCTGTATGTGCTCCTGTTCCGGGATGCGGGATGGACTTTACACCCTTGGAATCCCTGGTCCAGGAGCGGCCAGAACCTGTGCTGGCGCTCAGAAAGGACAAGTTTCACTGAGGAAGTTCCCGCAGCTTGACCACATGCCATGGAAGAAGCCACTGAAGACATCACAACAGCCAGAGATCGAGGTGCCACAAACCACCAGCGAGCCATTGATGAAGTCCCCAAGCGAGATGCAGCAGCCTCCCATGCATCTTCCGGAGGCATTCCAGCAGTGCGAACACCAATGGCCGCAGCCGGGGCAGCGATCCAACTGGTGACCCATGGCACCGCAGCAGTGCCCAAAGCCCTCATTGACATTGGCAAAGATGGAATGAATGCAGCGGCCCATATTCACAAACAGCCTGGGGGTGTCTGAAAATTGTTGGAAAACCATGGATAACGGATAACTCCCAAATTTGATGCTTTGTCAGCCTTTTCCCTTTCAAAATATACATTCAAGTTGACATCAGGCTTAAATCCTCCATTTTTTCACATCCCCGCCTGGCAATAAAGGCCCCAGCGGTATGAATGGCCTTCCCCACCGCCGCGCCACACTTCAACCAGCAACTGCCAATGGCGCTGCCGCCCCCAACGGCCTGCAACAACCGCAGCCCATGGCGATGGCCATGGCTATCGTCCTGTGGCTCCAGCAGCAGCGCCGCGAGGATGGCAGCGGAAGCCAGGCCCAGTAGCACGGCACCGATGGCCCGCAAGCGGCAGGGCGTCTCCGGAGGGGCAGCCGACTCTAGGTCGCTCTCCAGCAAAGAAGCCGACTCCGCCATGGCTGCCATGGTGAAAGGGCTTGAACCGTGGAAGTCCCGAAGATTTGGGGATGAGACAACAAAAACGTGGACCAAGTGTAGAAAACAAAATACAACAAAAACGTGGACCAAGTGTTGAACTGAAAAAAAACATTTACAGAAAAACACTAAAAATAACCAAGTCCTGGTTGGTTTGCTTCGACAACCATCAGCTCCAAGGATTTGCTTCCCATTCGTTTCCCGAAGTCTCCTGAGATTTCCGGCCTTGGGCAGTGGCACGTACTGCTGCAGGCGTGATTCTGATTTCGGATGAAGGGATGCTGAGGCCTCAAGCAGTATTCAGTTGGCAGGGTAGGACAACAGTCTGTGAGATGGTTCGGCAACCCAGCAAAGATACAGGTGGTGTATAGGACGATGAGTGTGAAACAAGCAACAAGCACTGTGGATATGTGGGTGTGACCTTTGAAAGCCAAGAACGGCGGCTTCCCTACTCGAATGGAACATCATCTCGTGGATTTTTCATGTTCGTTGAGGAGCCGACAATGGCAAAAGCTCTGTCAGGTTTGACAGACCAGTCCTGATGGATAGAGTTGTCATCAATCGATCTGCAAAGACATCGGCCTGGTTGCTGGCTCCCATGGTAGTCGCCCTGCTGCTTTGTGTCCCTCCCATGGTCAAGGGAAAATCCGGACCGTACCCCTCCCATATGTTCTTACAGTATTACTTGTTTCCCCTAATGTGGGATCCACCCAATGCCATAAACAATCCCTAAAAATTGCAATGAATGGAAGGTGGCTAAAACCAACCATCCCCAAATGGTAGTTGCCTATGGGATTGGGTTTACCACATTATTGCGATTTGCTTAAGGTGTCCAAAAAAAAAAACTATTCCCTATAGCTTCCCGAAATGCTGGATGTTCCACTGGGAAAATAAAATCGATTATGTACGTCACCTTCAACAAACCCAGGATAGTTGATTCTCCCAGCTAGAAATATCCATTTATAATGGATGTTCTTATATTTTCCCATTCAGTCCCACTTAGAATCCTAGAAAAAAACACCACCATCAATCATTATCATAGCTATATGAATAACTGTCATTAACCATTGTTAACTATTATTAACTATGTTTAACTATTGACTATTACAGTCTTAGTAACTATTAACCCATGATCAACATTCCCACCCCAATCTTCGGTCCAGGGCCACGCCTGACGTTTCACTTCTGGTCGAAAAGAGGACGGTCGAGGAATCGCGCGCGCCGTGGCGGCCACCGCGCGCAACCTGGGATCATCCCCTAACTGTCTGGGGATATATCCTACATGGGCCAAATTTGCCAATCACCAGTTGAAAACGCTGGTTTATATATCCTAATTAATATATATATATATATTATCCCATGATTTTGGATGGGTTGAACAACCATCAAAGGTGATGAGGCTTTTACATGCTTTTACTTGGAGGGTCCCTGGTGAGTTCCCATTCAGCGGCTTCTCCCAATGGATGAACTAGATATAATGGGATATGAAACCATCTCCGGTTTGGGTGTGGTGAAAAACCGTGGATAATACCGGATAGCCCAGTTTTCATTCGACAAAACAATGAGCAAACATATGAGGCTTTTGGGATAGCCCACCTTGCCCACCTTCAAACAAACCCAAATGGGTTGCTATGAGCTTGACATGTTCTGAAATGGATTTCTGGTTCAAATCATGGGATGTGAATGTGGTAAACGCCATAACCCATCCCATTCACCAACCATGACTGCGGGTCAGACTAAACATCATCTCATGGCTTTTGATGGTTTTTTTTGGAAACCTTGGGGATCGGGGGATCAATTTCTCTAAACATGGGGGATGTTCAGGGTCCAGCTGTTAATTGAGGCTAGTAGTTAAACACCGAAAATGTCGCACATGTCGCGGCTCTCAGTAGCAGGCGGGTGTGTGGCCAGCATGTCTACCTTAGCCCAGAATTGGACGGAACATCTCCACCATCTAAAAGGTTCAAAACAAAAGGAATTCCTTGGGAAGGTCAGAGGAGAGTCCCACACTTCGGGGAAAAGAATCAAACACCACTGCGTTGCTAACATGTAACTGAACGATCCATCGGTTTTAGATGATGTTTCTATCAAAAGTTGTTTTTCCCACATTCTGATGCTGGCTTTTGGGAGGGCAGTTTCTATTGATGGCATACATTCCTCTTTGGCTGGTTGATACTTCCATTCTTGTACCTTAAAATATGTGTCGCTCACACAATGGCAGTCATTGTGATTTATACATATATATATATGTATGTATGTATGTATGTATATATATATATGTATCTATATATGTATATATATATGTATCTATATATATATATCTTTTCATACATATTCTGATTTATGATGATTTATATATCTCTTCATACTATTCATAGCGCCAAAAATGGACCATGCGCCGTCTTGACTCATTCGAAACCGTTGGGCCGTGCTCCACAGTTGATCCACCGGGTCCCCGGTCTCCGATGTGCTCTGCTCCCCGATTGAGCTTGAGCGAAAATGGCTACGATGGTTCCTATGAAGAATGTGAAGATTGTGAAGGCTGCAATGATAGGGATATTAAATATATATATTATAACATATTATATTATATTGTATTATATTATATTATAACATATTAAATTATATTATATTATATTATATTCTATATGTACGTATAATATATTATATTATATTATATTATATTATATTTTCTATTATATTATATTATATTATATTATATGTGTACGTATAATATATATATATATCAATATATATATATCATGAAATCTTAGTGAATCTTAATGAGGAATATGATGGGATAATAATTGGGAAAGTGACCCTCCGGTAATCAAACAGTTCCAAATGGGAAATCCCCTTATCTACCAAAAAAAACTAAGTTTATAGCTGGGAAAATCATCGAACTAAATAGTGTTTTTTTCCAGCTTGCCGCGTTTGATTACCAAATGGTACCTGAAATCAATCTGTAAGTGGATAAAAATAATCAGACTTACCCTCTGGTAATTTAACATAGCTATTGAAAATGGCCATTAATAGTGGATTTTCCCATTAAAAATGGTGATTTTCCAGTTCGCTATGTTAGTTTACCAGAGGGTAACTTATCCATGTTTTTCTGTGGATGAAAACAGCATAGGAGCAGCTTCGAAATAGATCTGCGAAGCGCTGGCAGATTTTTCTTCGGATCGTCCTCTACGGAGAACATCAGCGCAAAAACAAGATCCGACTGTCGTTCCTCAGAATGATATATGATCAAATATCTTAGAAATAATAGTCTAATAATAGATACTATCTTAGAAATAGTCTAATAATATCCTTCTAATGATACTATCTTAGAAATAGTCTAATAATTAAATATAGATATAGAATGATATAGAGCATCATATAGCCATTAATCCAGTGAAATGATCAGAAAAATGGCAGTTCTCACAATATCTGACGATCAAAATCAGTTCACATCTTCCGGGATCATCTCCCTTTTTTGGACCCATTTGGGTCCCGTGGCGGAGATGGAGATGGCTGGTTCCCCTGATTATAAAACCATGATTCTAGTGAAGTTTGGAGTGAGGTTAGAGTTTATCCAGATTATATCATATCAGTCATATCAGTCATATCATATTAAATTACATCATATCATGTATTTATATATCATATATCATAGCCACATAGCCATTATTAGCCATTCATATCCCATATGGAGGTTTCCTGACATGGGTGTACCCAAGTCACCATGGCTTTCAATACTGAAATGGTCTAATCTTGGATGTGGCTACCCCGATTTTGGGAAACCCCCAAATATTCCCAATAAACCCCCGTTATGTCCCAGTGTACCAGCGTGTTGTCAAATCCCGGAAGCCACCTTGAAAAATCGATTCACACTCTCACCTGCCAGCTGCGGTGAGTGTATGCACCCACAGGGTGTCATCAAACGTGGCTGGAAATTCCATGAAATTCCACCATTTCGATAATTGTCCATGATTTTCCCAGCCACGTTGATGACACAGAGGCTAGGTTTTTTTGTGGATGAAAAACACCACCTGCCTACGTTCCGCAGCATGTGCATTGCCACGAATAGGAAATCCAACCTCGGAAACTGAGATCGTGGCGGCAAAGAAAAAACACGTCTCAGACTGTTGAGGAGCCATTTCTGGCAGGAAACCATCAGAGTGATCTACTTAAAAGAGCACCAAAAGATGCTCAAAGTTTCTTTTGTCGTCTTTCTGATTTCATGTGGTCAGGTGTGAGTTCACTCAAGATCAAGGAAGATTGGTTCCAGGCAACAGGTCAGCAACGTATAGCAATGACAAGGTTCAGACTGCTGGTTGCACACCAACTGGTACGCGAGCCTCGAGTTTCAACACACATCACAGCTACCCTCTGGTAATCAGCTCCGCTGGAAAATCCCCATGTTGATCAATGTTGATCGAAACAATGATTTTCCCAGCTATAAACGCTATAAACCTCCGTTTTTTTGGTGATTTCCCAGCCAGCCATGGAGCTGATGACACTTCATCAAGGCCCCACCATGCTCCCATTCGGCGCAGCGCCTACCAGCAGTCACCCGAAACTCCTCAAAGACATCGCCTGCAACGGAAAACGATTCGAAACAAACATGTGGCAAGGGGAAATCACTTACAAATCTAGGTTAAAATCATCGAAGTAAGTTAAGTAAGTAGCTAAATGATGGATGTTTAATGATTTTTCTATTCAGCCATGGAGCTGATGACGCCGGAGGGTAGTCGTGTAGCTTGTTTCTCTATTCAACGGCACCCTGGTTTTCGTCGGCTTAAGGCTCTAAAATGCTGCCGAAACAAACAGTGTGTTTGAGAATGGCTGCCATTTTCAGGAGCTTCACACAGGGATTCCAACAGTGGTCATTGAAACAGCGATCTTGGCATCTCAAATGTTTGACAAAGCCGAATATCACCAATGACCACAGTTGGAATCCAACAGTGTGAAGATTATCTGTTACAAAGACACATCCA